ATAGTAGTCTTATGATTTAATCACCTTCCAAATACATAAGACTTTTGGGGTTATTTTAAAACTAAATTGTAACAATATCTTTATTAATGCTCTCAATTTAGTTACAGATGCAGCACTTTATATTCCACGGGTCTCTAAAGATCCTTGTAACATCCAATCCTTCAATTTGGAGTTAACAGCTCTGGGTGTTAGGGATGCCAACGTGACTTACCAGGTCTGGTGGATGGCCGAGGTAAGGGTTGAAAGTAGACTTCAAGGCCAAAACTCTAACCTCAGTGCACCATCCTCTGTACTCTTCTGCCAATAATTCTTTCTGAGTATGCCTGCAACAAATAAGAATTAAAAGGAATATCTTCATTTAGGGATTGGAACTTAGATGGGCTTCCTTGGCATATATCTTTAATGGGTAACTGGGGAAAGAGAGATACTAGATAGCTTTTGCACAATGGATCTATCTAGTGGTTGCCTCAACCCACTCTTGTGATAATAGGATTTCTATGTAGCTGATGTACGTTGAAGGTGGAAGCAAGAGAAGTCACAGGTGACATTCTTCTAAGCTTTTATTATGTAGTATAAAGCAGTGTTTGGCACACTGAAAAGTGTAGATATTGAAGACTGATCTGTGTGTCTCTCACTGTCCATCCCGGTTACTGTATGACCTTAAGCTTGTTCTTTAACCACTGTGAGGAAGAGAGAAAGAGTTACAGCTAAAGGGTCTGCTTAAGCCCCTCTGTATTTGTACTTCCCTTTTTCTTTAATACTGGAACTCAATTTTAGCTGAACGCATGACCATCCATAATAATAATGGTGTTTCCAAGCCTGATGTCTTGCTAAATGTGGCTCTGCAACTAAATCCTGAAGAATGAGAGGTAAGTGGCAGTACCGAGTAAAGCATCTGGGAACCTTCCTCAAGAAAGTGCTTGTGCCAGGCCTGATAGTAGCACACACAATGATCTCAGTACCCTTGGAGTTGAGACAGGAGGATCACGTGTTAAGGTCTACATAGTGAGACCCTGGGCTACATAGTGAGACTCTGTCTCCAAAACACAAGTGCTTACAAGTGTCTTTTGTTTTCTCCTTTGTTCCTTCTTATAACTTGCCTCCTAGAAACTACATGCCACTGGGCTATATGGACTGTTATAGTTTAAATCCAGACTATCTCCCAAGAGGCTCCAGTTTAGAGGTGAGGCTTTGGGAAGGTGATCAGATTATGGGGGCACTATACTCATCAGTGGATTCACCCACTGATGCATCTGTAGCTGTATATGCTGTTAAGAGGGAAGGCCTGATCGGAAGAGGCAAGTCACTGAGAGAGCACATCTCCAGCGCCTGCACCTCCCCATGCTCTCTGCTGCCTGGGCCTCATGATGTGAGTAGCTTTCCTCTGCCAGGCCCTTTCACCATGTCAATCCTACCTCAGAGCCAGCCAACTCTGGATTGAACCCACTAAACGCTGTGATGCAAAATAAGCCTCTCCTCCTTTAAATTGTGGGTGTCAGGAATTCGGTTCCAACAATGGGAAAATGACTCAGACAGGCACTGTGAGGCAAAAACCTAACACATCAGACCAATAAGGTAGGAAGAGTCTAACTGCCCAGCCCCAGAGAATACCCTAGAATTCTGGGCCATGTCCCAAGACATTTATGTTAGAGAAAAATACATTCCAATTTTGTTGCAGCCATCATTATTTTGAGATTTCTGGCACTCACAGCCTAACAGAAACTAAAAGGGAAAGCTATAAAATTCACTTTATGAGACTAATAGGATCTCAATACCACAAATTGACAACAGTACAAGAAAAGACAAATATAAGCCAATCTTGTTAAATAAGATGCAATTTTATTAAGCAAGGTGTTCAAATCCTAAATATTAGTAAACCTAGACCAACAACATATAAATACATAATACAAAGTGACCTGGAAGTGTTGGTAGGGAATGTACCAGAATGTAATGCTATATTATAAACTTCAATAGAATAAGTACTATAAATGTAATAAACATAGCTGATCACATCAACAAAGTAAAACATGAAAGTTCTAGTATTGTATCAATACACAGACTCGGTAGCATTCCACACTCTTTCAAATTAAAAGCAAGAACTTCACAAATCTGCAAAGAGAAAGGGGACTTATTTTGCCTTCCCTTAGTATGGCAACCACTATTCATTAATAGAGAAAATTTGAGAACATTCTTAGGGTAGGTTTGCAAAACATGGTCCCTGGCATTCATTCCATGATCAGATGGGTGAGTTACTCAAGAAGGGTCAAGGGAACATTTCTGAGGGTTCCTGGTCACCAAAGTTGAATACACTAGTGTGAATTGCCAATCACTCTTCATTATCTTTCCCAAGATCATAAGAATCTTATCAATCATCAGTTCCATTTTTAATCCTCTTTTCTTAGAAGATAATATGGATCACTTTCTGTTCAAGTCTTAACTCCTTTGTAAAGCCAGTTATGTATTTTCTTCTAGGAGCACTGGAAATTTTATTTATCGTTTTCTGTGACTTTAACTTTGTCAGATGCCTTACAAAGTAGGGAGGTGGAGAGGAGACTTATTGAAGACATTTTAGAAAGATGTAAGTCTTCCAAGATATTAAGCACTATGGCTTTATAACTAGAGTTACAAAGATGAGTGATATCTGCTTTCTACCTTTAAGAAACATGCTTTTGCAAGATAGTCTTCATTCTTTTATATCTATTGTTCCTGAAATATATAGGCTGCTAAGAATAAATATTAAAAATAAATAGTAAATTTTACAGTAGTCAGTTACCTGGAATGATCAAAGAATAAGATAAAAGCAGAACTTCTAAAATTGTGGAGCAATGATACAATTGGACAAAACTGTCATATACAACCATTTAAGGACCTGGAACTCAACCAAAAGCATACAACAAAAGTCAAGTGTCTTGCGTAATAAAAACTAATGAAAGTCTAGTAAGAAGAGTAGCATACTGCAGTGTTTTAGCCTACAGATGATCTCCAATTATTCCTAATAATTTGGTTATTCTTTCGGGGTTTGTTTGTTTTGAGGCAGGATCTTGGTATATATTCCAGGATGGCCTTGAACTTCCTATGCTATGTAGCCCAGGCTGGCCTCAAACTCACAGTGATTCTCCAACCTCAGCCTTCCAAGTGCTTGGATTACAGGCATTCACCACCATGCCTGGCTCTTTCAGGCTTTCTATATGGTGATCATATGTGCTACAAATGGTAACTGTTATTTAGTCCTTTCTGATATGCAGGACCTTATGTTTTCTCTGTCTTATTCCACTAGCTAAAGTCTCTAGTACAATATTAAATAGTAGTGGGGATAGGAGACATCCTTGTTGTAAAGGAAATACTTCAAATATTTTCTCATATAGAATGATGTTCACTGTAATTTTTTGAGACAAGTTCTCATTACATTGCTCAGGCTGGCCTTGAAATCCTGGGCTCAGCACATCCTTGTCAGCAACCTGAGTAAGCAAAGCACACACCACCACACCTAGCTTACTTATAGATTTCCTAATATTAAATCTTTGTGCATGTCTGGCACAAACCCAACATGATGATGATATACTTTCTTTGTTATGACTTATTTTATCTTTGCTAGTCGTTTTACTATTTTTCATCTATTTTTTAAGAGGTGGAAAATGGTGCTTTTTCTGGGTCCCTTTGGATTTCTCATACTTTGTACACACTGGAATGACCGCATGTTCTTGTGTCCATAATCAGGGTGTATGGCTCTTTTTCAAGACTGGAGGCAGGCTAACGGAACCCACTTTGCCCACAGACTCAGGGAGGCAGAAGAACCTAGGGCTTTACATGTCCCTGAGACAAAACCTAGCCAATGAGTAATGTGACAGCACAAAGCCCCAGCCCCTACAGCAGGACTTCCTACACCAGGACCATCTGCAGAGGATCCCACAGCTCATGAGATGCACCTACATATTTTTTTCTGTTTCATAATGTTCTTGTCTAGTTTTAATGTCAGGGTTATTATATTGGCTTTATAAAAACGATTTAGAAAATATTTCCTTTTTTCTGATTCCCTGGTAGTTTGTATAAGATTAGATTGAGCTCTTCCTTCAAAGTTTGCCTGTGAGAAACTCAGGCTGACTGTGGTCATCCCAGAAAAAAATACATAATGGAGACAAAAGTGAGAGGTAGAAGGAAGCACGGGGCTAGATATAGGTTATTTTTCCATTTCTGGTTTTTGCTTTAGAGGATAGATATTAAAAATGACTAAAGAGAATTCTAACACGGAACAGTAATGATGGAAGGAGTATGATTAGCTAATCAAATTCTGTGCTTTTGAAGCCCATTAAGGAAATAAATAAATAAAACCCATGTTGTCTGAAACTAATGGGGCTCCTGTAGGTTTCATTTCATTAGTAGTTGCCTGGTACAGCTCTCTGGTCCATTTACTCTTGATTCTTCAGTGTCTATCCTGACTGCCTCACTTTGCTATTGTGAGGACCTCAGAAGTCACTAAAGCCTAAAAAATTAAAATGCAGGAATTCTAATTCATACTGCCAAGTTCAGAATCCAAGTTTCAAACAAATTTCTTCTCATCAAAGTGCCTCCCCTTGTAGCTGAACATCTGTGTGCAACCCCATGGTCCTATATCTTTTAGTTTGTCCCAAGATTTTACATCCATGGAGAATAAATAGGTGCCTCATTCTAGGGCCTGGAAGAGAGGGGAGAGGCAGCTATTTGAGCAGCATTTTGGTCATTGTATAAATTACCAACAGTCATCTTAGAAACCTCATAGATGTCCACGTGTGTATGTGTGAGTGCCTGTGTGAGTGTGAGTGTACATATGTGTATCTGTAGATCCATAGGCATCTGTCCCTCTCACAGATAACAGGACCAGGGACCCCTGGAACAGGCCCAGCTTGTGCCACACTGGCCCTTGTGCCCAAACTCCTCCACCTCGCAAGTTTCCGAAGGATCCATAGGAGCAACCCCCGACCCTATGGCCACAGCCACTCACTTTTGTGTGCTCTGCCCTCCAGGTCCCCTTCTCCAACTGCAGCCGTGACTGCCTGGCAGGGACCAGAAAAGGGATCATTGAAGGGGAGCCCACTTGCTGCTTTGAGTGTGTGGAGTGTCCTGACGGAGAGTACAGCGATGAGACGGGTAAGGGAGCGGTGCGCTGGGATGCGCAGGGCTGGGTGAAGGGCCTGGGCTCAGAGAAGCCCATGGAGTGGCTGAGCTGAGATGGTGCCTGCTGCTGTTTCCCATTTACCGGGGTGTGGCTGAGTGCAGTGTGATTCAAGGGGACGCAGAAAGGGAATGTCAGATGCCCTTCTCTACCATAAGCACTCACAAAGACACTACTGCACAGCTTTCTCTCCCTTCGACACTGCTTTCCGGCACTGTTTCTCTTTCCTTAAATTCAGTGGCCCTAAGTAGACACAGCACCATCTGCTCCAGCTCCAGAGTTAATAGGCCATGACAGATTGCCAGCAGTGCCTGGCACTGTATTTGCTGCTTTATGTTTTTCCTGTAGCTCAAGTTCTTTTAAGTGAGGATAATAATTAAACCTGTTTGACAGACTTTTGAGAATTAAACATATTCATATTGCTAAAGCACATGGCACAGTCTCCATAAATGTCTTTTAAATAAAACCTGGACTTACATATTGGAAGTACTTTATAAACACTAACTATAATTGTTATTATTCTCTCATCTTACTGTTGCCACAACAGTGAGCTTTGCCTCCATCCTAGAAATGAAGAAACTGAGGCTTAGAGAGTGTCATTAGCCTGACTGAAGCCACACAGCTAATAAATGGCATGGCCAGGATCCCATCAGCATCTAACTGCAAAACCTATATTCCCCTTATTGCCCCAAACTGCACAGAGGCTGGCAGAAGCAGAGGCTTCATATAGATTCATTGCTTGAATGAATCACTAGGAAGACATGGCTGTGGGTGAACAGTGGAAAATGCAGTCATAGGCATAGGATACTCTGCTCCAACCTAAAAGGGAGTCTGGTCCAGCATGTCTATGTGTCATCCACCTATCCCAAATCAGGCTGCATGTGAGAAGACAAGTTCGTCTACTTCATCTTATACCTGTATGTATCCCACAATGCCATTTCACAGACCTCAACTATGCACAACAAAATTTACTTTAAAAACTAAGTCAGGCAGAGCTTGAGTCACTCTGCAATGAACTGATGGCCCATGCTAGACCTACATACTAGGCAGTCCAGCCTCTACTACAAACCATCAGCAGGTAATGTTAAGGAAACAGGTGCTCCTGTAGTAGAACTATCAAAGACACACATTTTTATAGTGTGAAAATCAGGATGATTGCATCCATGAAGAAAATAGAAAGTCACCATATCCGATAATCTGCATCCTTAGCACCACATCACACTCACAAAGTTGGCCTGTGCCACGTAGTAACTGGCTCTTCACTGGGGTGTTTTACAGATGCAAGCGCCTGTGACAAGTGCCCAGATGACTTCTGGTCAAATGAGAACCACACTTCCTGCATTGCCAAGGAGATCGAGTTTCTGGCATGGACAGAGCCCTTTGGGATCGCGCTCACCCTCTTGGCGGTGCTGGGCATCTTCCTGACAGCTTTCGTGTTGGGCGTCTTCATCAAGTTCCGCAACACCCCCATCGTCAAGGCCACCAATCGAGAGCTCTCCTACCTCCTCCTCTTCTCCCTGCTCTGCTGTTTCTCCAGCTCCCTGTTCTTCATCGGCGAGCCCCAGGACTGGACGTGCCGCCTGCGCCAGCCCGCCTTCGGCATCAGCTTCGTGCTCTGCATCTCCTGCATTCTGGTGAAGACTAACCGTGTCCTGCTGGTGTTTGAGGCCAAGATCCCTACCAGCTTCCACCGCAAGTGGTGGGGTCTCAACCTGCAGTTCCTGCTGGTTTTCCTCTGCACCTTCATGCAGATTGTTATCTGTGTGATCTGGCTTTACACCGCGCCCCCATCCAGCTACCGCAACCACGAGCTAGAGGACGAGATCATCTTCATCACCTGCCACGAGGGCTCACTCATGGCCCTGGGCTTTCTGATCGGCTACACCTGCCTACTGGCAGCCATCTGCTTCTTCTTCGCCTTCAAGTCCCGGAAGCTGCCAGAGAACTTCAATGAAGCCAAGTTCATCACCTTCAGCATGCTCATCTTCTTCATTGTCTGGATCTCCTTCATCCCCGCCTACGCCAGCACCTATGGCAAGTTCGTCTCAGCAGTGGAGGTGATCGCCATCCTGGCAGCCAGCTTTGGCCTGCTGGCCTGCATCTTCTTCAATAAGGTCTACATCATCCTCTTCAAGCCCTCCCGGAACACCATCGAGGAGGTGCGCTGCAGCACCGCCGCCCACGCCTTCAAAGTGGCAGCCCGGGCCACGCTGCGCCGCAGCAACGTCTCGCGCAAGCGGTCCAGCAGCCTCGGGGGCTCCACGGGCTCCATCCCCTCCTCGTCCATCAGCAGCAAGAGCAACAGTGAAGACCCCTTTCCACAGCCCGAGAGGCAGAAGCAGCAGCAGCCACTGGCCCTGACTGGGCAAGAGCAGCAGCATCCCATGACCCTCCAGCTGCAGCAGCCCCAGCAATCACAACCGCAGCCCCGCTGCAAGCAGAAGGTCATCTTTGGCAGTGGCACAGTCACCTTCTCCCTCAGCTTCGACGAGCCACAGAAGAACATCACGGCCCACAGGAATGCCACCCATCGGAACTCCCTGGAGAATCAGAAAAGCAGCGATGGCCTGAGCAGACACCAGGCGCTGCTCCCCCTGCAGTACAGGGACACAGACGCGGGCCTGGCCACCCAAGAAACGGGCCTGCAAGGGCTAGTGGCAGGAGACCACCAGCCGGAGGTAGAGGAAACAGAAGAGGGGTCCCCCACCCTCGTCATGGCCAAGTCCCGGAGCTTTGTCATCAGTGGGGGAGCCAGCACTGCCAAGGAAAGTTCACCACACTCACAGTGAAAGGCAGACGCCTGGGGAGAGGCCAGAGAGCTTTCCTGGAATCACAGGGGCAAGGAGTCACCCCAGGCTCCTCTCTTCTGAGCAAAGAGGAATGGATACTAGACGTATTAAATGCCCCAGATTTAGTTGTACCACTTTAAGTAACAGTGAATTGACTGATGTTCCCTTTAAAATTTAAAAAAAGAGCCATGTGTTCCTGTGGCTGTCAGAGCATCGGGTCATGGTTAGATTCGGTAATCCACACCCAGATCTCTTCCACTGTTCTGTCCCACCCTGCACAGAGACGAAATCAAGGCTTTACGCACTCCACCTGCTCCCTCCTCTAAAAATGTGCATACACACACATATGCACACACATGCACACACACACACATGCACACATACACACACACACACACACACACACACACACACACACATATATAATTCCCACCCTGAAAATCACAAACAGCCATGCTCTGAATCATGGTCCAGAGACACAAGTGTGTGGGTGAACAGGATGTCTGATCTCGGTCACTGGGGCTGCCCAACATCTTGATGGTGGAAAGAATCTTAAATGTTTAAAAACATCAGGGATGTGTGTCCTATTTATGAAAACCAGAAGACATTTTATCTCAGTCTCCTCCCTGCTGCTGCTATCCTGTGGCATCTAGCAAGTCTGCTCCCTTCCCATAGCAATAGTATGTTGGATTTCATCCAAGATGTGGTAGCAATGCTATGTTCAGGTTCCAGGATCACAAGAATCACCTAAGATTGTTGGGAAGGGACTGAATTAATCCAATGAGCTATATCTATAATTGATATTATTCTGTATAGCTTTGTCCTTAAGAAAGTGCTTCGTTGTAATGGTTCATGGACAATATAAACTGAAAATGTCACAGTTTGGTTTCTACGAGGCAGTATTATTGAGCTCCATTTTCCTTCCCCTGCACCCCTTCACCCCACCATGAGCAGAGCCCTATGTGAGACCTCTCTCAGTCCCTGAAGCTCCCTCCATCCCTGCCTCAGAGGCTTTCTGAAGCCAGATCCACACCTGACCCTGTGGAGAATAAGCTCCCAATGTTTGGCCCCCTAACCCTTGCTGAGGTAAGAAAGTGTAACTCCACCCTGAAAATGCCATAAATGAACTGCTAAGCACTCAGACTCTGCAGCCAGAGAGACCAGGGTCCAGTCCTTGGCTTGGTCACTTGCAAGCTGGGTGACCCTAGGCAGGAAACCATAACCTCTCTAAGCCCCAGCTTCTTTGTCTCTAAAAGGAGGGTAATAACCATCCTTTCCCTCCACGTTCTTATCAGATTAAGTGAGAAATGTATATAAAGTACTTTAGCATGGTGCCTAACACATAATAAGCACACAATAAATATTAGTTAATACTATTACTCATATCATAATTACTATTTTTTCACTGATTTAGACTATGCTATAATTTGGATTGTGGATGTCTCCCCCACAGTCCACATGTTAAACGCTTGGTCCTCATGATGGCACTATTGGGAGGTCATGGAGACCATTGGAGTTTAGGCCTATTGGGAAGTCATAGATCATTGGGATATGGCCTTGAAGGAGGAGAAGGAGAGACCAGGCATGATGGCATACTCCCATCAACCTAGCTACTCGGGAGGGAAGCTGAGGCAGGAAGATCCATTCTTTGCTTTGATTTGAGAAAGATCTTCTCTTTGCTTCCTGGCCATGAGATGAGTAGTCTGAACTGGGGAAGAATAAACCTGATGTTCTGAGTCTTTCTGCACTTGGACTACAGAAAAGTAGCACCATGTTGTCCAATCCATTATCTGTTAGAAACAGCAAACTGAAAAAAAAAAAAAAAACAAAACAAAAAAACAAGAGCTTCACCAAACTAGTGTACATTTTTCCCTTTCAGAAGAGATTTCAAAATGTGTATGATCACCTTTTAATCACTGTTTTTGAAAGATTCCTCGGGGTCTCTTGGCAATTTGCAATGGCTTGTCTTTTGTCTTTTTGAAATCAAAAAAATGTGTTTATAATTATGAAGCATTTTCAGTCAAATGAAAGTTTCCTAGATCTTAAGAATTTAGTTTGGAACTTTACAGGTGATAAACAGCACACAACACCGAAAGTTCCTACAACCATCAGAAGTTGTCCAATAGCATTAATCTTGATGTGCGGAAGATGGGGCTGTCCTCCCTGTCTCCAACAGTCACACCTCCTTTGGTCCTGGCTAAAATCACATAGCTGTAGGTCAGCTCTGCCCAGATCCAGAGTTTCCCTTTGCTTATCACCTGCCTTGGAAGTTGTTAGTACTGGAGAACAACAGCATGGGCGTGGTGCCTGTTTGTTTTTTGTTGTTGTTATTGTTTTTGGTGATACCAGGGATCGAACTTGGGAACTTGCGAGGCAGGTAGGTTGCATGTTTAATCAGAGGAGGCAGTAGCCTACATTGGTCTGAGCCTGAGTGATCATTTCAGGAGTCCATTGAAGGAACACCTGGGTGAAATTGGGGTGAATAGGAGGCTGCTATAGCGAGATCTCTATTCTCCAGGAGACTCCGGATTTCCCTAACCCAGACCATGAGAAAATCCTAGAAGCTGGTGAGAACTTCGAATGAACTTGGCCATTATGCAGAGAGCGAGGTAGGGGTCAGGGATCAAGTATAGAGTAGAACCAGTCAAAGGGATAAAGGTGCAATCCAAGGACAGACGGAAAAGAGGTAGTTTTGAAGGGAACTGCTCTGCAAATGGGGTGATAGATGGAGAGTGACTCCTGACCACAGGCTGAGGAGGCTGTACAGGACCCACACAAAGGCACATCTGGGACTCCAGCGCTGAAGCAGAGGGAGACTTTCTCCATTGCTGGGATGACAACAATATCCCTTCCCTCCCTGATCCGTGCACAGAGGGGAGGAAGCATGGAGTGAAGGTAAACAGGGCTACCACTTACAGTACGACTAGGTGGGGTGGGGAAGGGGCGGGGAAGGGAAGGGTGGATTCATGAAGGTGCACCCCAGCTCTGGCCTCTGGGATGCACCCAGGGCCTCCTGGGTGAATGGTGGAGGAGGCTGGAACCAATACACACAGTCCAGGTCTGAAAGGCCAGGACATGAGGGGCAGATGCTTGATTGTAAGATGACTGAACAGAGGCGAGATGTCAACACCAGCGATCAGTACAGGATTTGATCCCTGATAGAAGCATCAGGAAGTATTTTTGGAAGAATGTGATTGCCTTCCTTGACATCAAAGCAAATATGGGGTTATTACTCAAAATCCTGATTTTCTTTAAACAAACAGAGATTCATTCCTGCTTGATGCTGATCTAATGACTATTTTTGAGATTTGGTGGTTTTTTCTGTGTGTGTGTGTGCGTGTGTGTGTGTGTGTGTGTGTGTGTGTGTTACTGGAGATTGATTCCAGAACCTTATACATGCTAAGCAAGTACATTGCCACTAAGCTATGTCCCCAGCCCTTGCTCTGTTTTGAGGGAGGTTTTCTTTGTCAGTTGGTTGGTTTTTGTTGTAGTTATTTTGTCTTTTCTGAAACTGTATTTGAGCTCAAGATCTTCCTGCTTCAGCCTCCCTCCTGAGTAGCTAGGTTGATGGGAATATGCCATCATGCCTGGGCTCTCCTCTTGCGTTCCTCTTCCTCCTCCTCCTCCTCCTCCTCCTCCTTTTTCTTCTTCTTCTCCTCCTTCTCCTCCTCTTCCTCTCCCTCTTCTTCCTCTTCTCCTTTTTTCAGAATTTTCTAAATACTTAGAAATGATGAACAAGTCTAGAGATCATCTGTTCAGCAACAAGGATTAGAGTTAATAAAACTGTGATATATTTGAGATTCCTGCTACATGAGTGGACAGTAACTGCTCTTGCTACAAAAGCAAAATGAATACTACTATGATTTGAACGTGGCCCTTGAATTTCATGCCGCTAGAGATGTGATCCCTGATGCAGCCCTGTTGTGATGTCAACCTCACGAATGGTTCAACACCAGCTAACACAGCAGCTCGGTTATCCCAGGAGCAGAGCAGTTCCTGGTCAGAGGATGAGTTTGGCTCGTGTGCTTTATCCACCTTGCACGTCCACACTTGCACACTCACATGCACGCTTGCTCTCTTACTTCTCCACCTTCCATCTGGAGCAAGAGGTCTCAGCAAGAGCTGGGTGTGGTGGCACAAAAACTGGAGCCAGTCCAGACCCGACACCCAGGCAATGGACAAGAAAATGACACCCGCGGACGTGAGATACACAAATGCGTGGACTCTGCTGAAACATGTGACCAAACGTTAGAAACAAGTTGTGAGGAGAGTGCAGGACGCAGAACACGACGTCCACACGGAATAACATGAGCGAAATGTCATTGAAGATGAAGGGGGGGGACGATGAGGAGGAGGGACATGAGGAAGGAAAGTAGAACTCATTGATTTGCTTTTTTCATTTGTAGTTATATAACTTCATTAAACAAAGGAGGAGGAGGGGGAGGGAAGGGAGACGGAAAGGAGAAGGAAGGAAAATCATGGCCCTATCCGAGGCATTTTCGCTGCCACTTCAGGAGTAATAAAGCAAGGATTACAGTGGGCCGGAGATTAAAAGAAGTTATTTGAGTTCTCTTGAGCTAAATCCAGCAGGGCTCTGAATTGGATAGACCAGTAGCAGTGAACATTTGGTACGCGTGCTGCAGTGGGCTCCTTGTATTATCAACAGCTCTGAAAGGTTCGCCCTCCCTGGGATAGAGCGTAGAGAGCGCTAATCCATTTCCCCACACCTTAGTCAATACCAAGTACCTGCAACAACATAGAAGAAACAGCGTTTGAAGAGTACGTTTTAAATCACTTTGTCAGGCAGAGGCGGGGAGTCAATTTTAAACAAATGTCAAACGCACGCCTCAGCACTGCTCGGTCTCTCCTCTTTCCGGTCCCACTCCTCTCCTACCTCTCCCACCATTAATTAAGGCACTGCGCACCCCTAACCTAGACTTCACTCAGGAAGTCCGTGTGAACCTGGGGCGTGCTCTTGGAGGTGATATTGGGGCTCTGCCCCCCATTCTCCATGAGGTGAGCCACGCTGTTCCCCTAAATGCTCCCCTTTGAGATGTCCTTTGCCATCATCAACCCAGCAGCAACAAAGCCAAAAGACTCACGGATGAAACCCCAAAACCATAAGCCAAAATAAATCTCTCCTTAAATTTATTTTCTCAGGTACTCTGTCAGGAATCTAATAT